GTTTAAATATAACTAAATCTGGTTCCAGAACATTTTATAGCACACTTTTTAAAAAAATATATAAATAAATACAATACAAGAGCAACAGACAACTTTATAATACCGTTTGAAACAACAAGACTCTCGAAATTCTCAATTACATATCATAGTCCCTATTTATTTAACAAATTAGTTTCCAGAAACGAATCACTATTAAACCTAAACAACAAACACTCTCTGAAAATAAAGCTAAAATCTGCTATAGTCAAATTAAACAACTGTAAGGAATTTTTTTTAAATATTAATAAAAAAATTTTAAAAAATGTAACTTAACTTTTAATATAAATCGATAATAAAAAATAATAATATTAATAAGAAAGTATATATGTACAACATACATATATACCACGTATGCAACTGATTTTTATGTGTATTACACGTCCAAAAAGAGGTACTCGATGACAAGAGTGACTTAAGTCTTCTGCGAACTTCCTATAACTACTAACAAGTAATTCTTCTTATCAATCTTACACAAATTTCGTTTTTATCATATTTATGCACAAACATTAGTTTGAAATGTGGTAAATAAATTTATAGTCAAACATCTAAACATTTCTCTGAAAATTCAGCTAATTTATTTTTATTTATTGTATTTTTTTATTTTAACTGGAATAATATAGAGATATATTTATCGGATTATTTTTACGTACACGTTACTACATTGTTGTAATTGGTGTTTATTTTAATAGTGTGGCGGAGTTGTATGCAACTATAATTTTGTTTACTTCGTATATTTCGAACTTTATGTTTATGATATTTATGTTTGTATATCTTTACCGCCAATCTGTGATTGGTTACTAGTAAATACTTTGTAATTGTAAAGAAAAAATGTAAAAAAAAAAAAAAAAGTTGTTTTTATTTTAGGGGCCATTCATAAAGTACGTACGCATGTTTGGGGGAGGAGGGGTTTTCCAAAAGCGTACAAACGCGTACAAGAGGGGAGGGTGTGTTAAAGACAGTGAGTACGTACGCGGTTTGACTGTCTCTCCTAAACTTGATTTTTTTTTTTTAAAAAAACATTGAATTTCACGTGTGTAACAAATCAGAATTGTGTTTTTTTTCTGACTTCAGTCAAAAATTTTTTTTTAATTTCTTTATAAATAATGAGGAGAGAAAAAAGAAATTCAGTTAATTTTGGAAGAAAGAAAATGCGTACGTACGCGGAGGGAGGAGGTCTTTGAAAGTGTACAGGTTTGTACAAAGGGGAGGGTGTCCTAAATCAGTCGTTTTACTGCGTACGTACTTTATGGATGCCCCCTTATAATTTTTATTGCTACCATAAAATTTGAAAACTGGCACTCGGTATAATTTATAATTTGCTTATATTTATAAATTATAATTTATAATGTATCAATTTTTTTTTCGTATAACCGTGGGGTAGTAATGCTATGAAATGCTAAACAAAAACAAGTTTAAATATGAATAACAGTACTTTTAACAAATTTAATTCAACACAATATTGAATGTATACACTTATTTTATGACGTATTTTTTATACAAGATTTAAGATTTATTAATGCTCTACAAAAAATGTATATATACACAGACACACACACACTTAAATATATATATATATATATATATATATATATATATATATATATATATATATATATATATATATATATATATATATATATATATATATTATATATATATATATATATATATATATATATGACAAACTAAATTTTATAAATTGTTTCATGTTTTTGACTACTTATGTAGTAAGATTACTTTGAACCTTATTCAAAGTATGCAAAAAAATGTATACAATAAAGTATGCTACGCTTTAGCAATGGAACATAACTATAGTAGGCTAACAAACTTCTTTAGATTTAACATGCTTAATAAGTTTATAAACAAAAACTATGTAACTTAGACAAGGAGCTGCTACACTAGCTGAGGCAGTGTACATAGTATTCTGACTTATTATTTTGAGAAAAATATCCCAAATATTTAATTCGTTTTTTAAGAAACAATAACAAAAAATTAAAAAAAATAAAACTTCAAATAATCAAATTATAAACTATTCTTAACACTTTGTTATTTAAGGTTTGAACAGTTTCATATAAGTTCTTGCCATAATTACAACTTGAAAAGAAAATCTGTCTTCAAAGTTACCTCGCTATTCAAAGTAATCCCGGTTTACGAAACATAGAACATTGTATTTATTCATATATATATATATATATATATATATATATATATATATATATATATATATATATATATATATATATATATATATATATATATATATATATATATATATATATATATATATCTTTTTGTATTTATTGTATATATTATATAGAACATTTTATTTATTACATTTGTAGATAGAGCAAGATAATACTGAGGGGATAAATTGGTTACACGTTCTCACCAGATAAATAAAACAGTTTTTAATAACACGTTCTCACAAGATAAGGTATACTAAGCCGTATACTAACTTTTAGTACATCAAGTATAAGGTAAAGTTAGTATACCGTATACTGTAACAGTCAATCTCTAGCCAAAATAGGTTGTTGTTATACAAAATTAGGTATCCATTAAATTAGGTATTCATATTAATCAAATGAAAAATACCTCCCTCATAAAAAGCGTAAATCTCAAATTAATGCACAAACTAATTATAGTGTATTTAGCACCTCAACCATATAGCACCTATATACAACTATCAAAAATCAACTATATGCAACTATCAATAATCAACTATATGCAACTATCAAAAATCAACTATATGCAACTATCAAAAATAGGTAATTGCTATGCAAAATTAAGTATCCATAGCAACCACATAAAATTATCTTTTCATAAGAAGCGCAGACCTCCATACAATTAAGGCGAATTAGTAAAACTTATATCGAAATTAAAAAAAAAAAATCTCATATTTGATAATCTATAACTTTGGTTTTAAATGAAATAAATTTAAATTTATTTTTGTTAAATACAACTTCTTGTGCTTGTATTTTTAAAAAAGTTCTTAGAGATTTTTTTTAGAGATTATATCCTGGTAACATTAGCACTTTTTCTTCTATTTCCTTGAGGAATATTCTATTTTCTATATATCTTTTCAAAAGTTAAAATAATTCTAGCACCAAGCAATGTTTTCACATAATAATAACTTTCAAAAACTTGAGATTTTAACGGCTGGAAATTAAAGTTAAAGTTAGAACTCCATAATATACCACAATTATATTAACTTATATAACATACTTGATAGGCATATCACTTTTTAAATAAATTTTAAAAGATTGCTTGTGGTCTACTAGGGTTTGGTGGTTTTTCAAAACCGGTTCTAAAAAACCGGTTTTTCAAATAAATTTGACACATCGTCACATGAGAATTATAGGGTTCTATCTGCCTTGTTTTATGTTGAAAGAATTTTAAAATCAAAGTTTTAATTAATAATTAATAATAAAAACAAACCACTTAAAAAATGATATATTATATACCATTTTTTAACATTTTTAACAAATAACATAAATAACTTATAATTTATAATTATAGCTGTAAAACATGTATTAAATAAATATTGAAAGTTAAGTTCTCACAACATAAAAAAAGGCAGATAGAACCCTATAATTCTAATGTGACATTTAAAAACCGGTTTTTCAATAACAAAAACCGTTTTTTTATTTTTTAAGATTTTTATGTTATAAAATAACATTTTCTTAAGTTAGTTTGGTAAGCTATTTCCTTTGGTGTTTTAACACGTTGTTTTAATTTTTTTTCCTTCGGTAGATGAGGATTTCGATTTCATTTTTGAAAAATGTTACGTAATAATTACCAAATAGAAACAATTGCTTGTCTAAAAATACACGGATGTAAACAATACGTTTTAGGGTAAGATAATAAGTTTCTTGAAAATTATGCAGAAAAGCTCACTAACTTAAAGACAATGAAAACTGAATTTCCATTATTAGAGGCAAAGCATAAAAGATCCAAAAACTTAGATTTGTTATTTGATATACTTAAAGCTATAAAACCGAGCCCAGTACCTTGTGAATGCGTATTTTTAACTGCAGGCAATTTTGTGCTTAAAATTACAACAAGACTTAGTCACCGTTCAGTGGTCATATTATGTTTTTTTAAAACCTTATTTCCTTATGAAGAATTAATATAAGTGAAATAAACATGATATATAAATAAAATATTTCTTGTTATTCAATTTTTATTAATAAATTTGAAAAACCGTCTTTTCGTTTTAAACAATCTAATCTTGCAGACCAGATATAACGGAAATGTCTTGATTATTATATAATATATACTAATTACGCAATGACAGCAATTACTTGAAATGCACCTTGTCCGACTATATACTGAGTAGTACTAATGCCAAATTTAGTAAATAAAGATCTCATTTTTATTTAGTTATTAATTTGGTCAATTTAAAGCAGAGTTGTTGGCCTAGCCTGAAGGCCAAAAATTGATTTCTCTGGTCTTTTCACCATAAAATTCTTGGCCTTGCTACTTTTGGTTTTGTTATTAAAGTGAAATCTGGTGCGATATCCTAGAACAGCATTTCTAAAAAAATGAAGTTTTACAGATATCACTTTTACGCGAATAAAAAGTGTATTATCGATATTTTATTCTACTTGGAACTTAGAGAATGGGAAAGTGGTACTTTTGGTACACCTTATTGAACAACCAGTATAATAAGCGCGTGCAATCATGATTCTGGTTTTGTGTAAGACTAACTTATCTAATATTAATAGTTTTCATTTACAGGGTATTTTACTTGTTTATTGCCAAGTTTAAGCACACCATTTGATTGTAATCTGAGTTTTTGTACTGAGCACTATGAAGGTTAAACATTTTGACCTACAAATATAAACACTCTTTAAAATCAAGCAATTTTCACCAGACCCCAGGCGAAATACTTTGTTTACAAGAAAAGAATTTGAAGTGTTGGTAAAAAAATTAAAGAAATGTGTTAAGGAATAACAACGAAAAAAGTTAGTACTAAATTTATTAAACGAATGTTTCTTTCCTATGGCTGATTAAAAAATATGATTGAATTGAAGAGCATTGTTAGTTTTAAAATTATCTTTTATTTATTTTAGGTCTCCTTTGCAAGACGTTCGGCTTTTTCTATCACATCATTTAAATTTCCAACCATATAAAACGCAACTTCAGGCAAATGATCCATTTCTCCTTTTAATATTTTTTCGAAACCAGCAATGTTTTCCTGAAATAGAAACAAAATATCAAATTGTTTTTTAATTGTTAATTCAAAAATACTTATAAACTGTTCATAAGTACATAATAAGAAAATAATAATAATAAAAAGTACACCCACTTCTAATTGAACAAGTTTTCCGGCATGACCAGTGAATATTTCAGCAACTTGGAAAGGTTGAGATAAAAACTTCTGAATCTTTCTTGCACGAGCTACAATGTTTTTATCTTCCTCAGACAACTCATCCATACCAAGAATAGCAATAATATCTTGGAGCGATTTGTAATCCTACAATTTCAAATTTACTTTTTTTTATATAGTTTGTTATGCAATAAGAATAGAACTTAGACATTTTTGCGAGAGCCGCACAAAACTTCACACACACAAAAAGGTTCCAACGCTTTTGGAGCCTATTAAATCAATTAGACACTAGAAAACTAACCTGTAATATCTTTTGAACACTACGTGCAACATCATAATGCTTTTGACCTACAATATTTGGGTCCAAAATACGTGAATTTGAATCTAAAGGATCAACAGCAGGGTATATTCCTAACTCAGCGATTCCACGAGATAATACAGTGTTTGCATCTAAATGTGCAAAGGTAGTAGCAGGTGCAGGATCTGTTAAGTCATCAGCAGGCACATAAATAGCTTGCACTGATGTAATTGAACCTTTTCGAGTTGTAGTGATACGCTCTTGCATAGTACCCATATCAGTGGCCAAGGTAGGTTGGTATCCTACAGCAGAAGGAATACGACCCAAAAGAGCAGACACCTAAATAACATAAACTTAACTTTGTAAAATTACTAACACATTGTACAAAAACACTAGTTTTCATGCTGCTAATATATATAGTGGTATATATCACTTTACATATATTCAAATACATCACTATAAAAACTCAAATACATCACTATAAAAACTTAAACACATACTTCTGAACCAGCTTGTGTAAATCTGAAAATGTTGTCAATAAACAATAGCACATCTTGCCCTTCAACATCTCGAAAATATTCAGCAACTGTAAGACCAGTTAAAGCAACTCTTGCTCTTGCACCTGGAGGTTCATTCATTTGGCCATAAACCAAAGCTACTTTAGATGATTTATCTTTCAAATTGATTACTCCAGTTTCCATAAACTCATGGTATAAATCATTACCTTCACGTGTTCGTTCTCCAACACCAGCAAACACAGAATAACCACCATGAGCTTTGGCAATATTATTAATTAGCTCCATGATTAATACGGTCTTTCCAACACCAGCACCACCAAAAAGTCCTTTAACAAATAGAAAAATAAAAGTTATTCTTATGATTTAATAGCTTGTAAAAATGAAAGTAATTATTTGTATTAATTTGTATTAATAGCTTAGTGTGTAATTAAGTGAACACAAACTATTATATTTTTTAAATTTCAACAAAATAAATTAGTAGAATTACACTGAAAATACAATAAAAATACAATTACAAAATACTTTTTTTACTGCTAAAATTAATTTGGAGATTTTAAACAATAATTAAACTGTTTTTAACTTACTGATTTTTTTAAATACACTTACCGATTTTACCACCTTTTGCGTATGGTGCTAGTAAATCTACAACTTTAATACCAGTGATTAAAATCTCTTGCTGGACACTCATTTCAACAAAAGCTGGAGCTTCTGCATGAATAGGAGCTTTGGTTTTTGTAATAATTGGTCCCCTTTCATCAATAGGCTCACCAATAACATTCATTATTCTACCTAATGTTTCAGGTCCAACAGGAATGCAAATAGGACTACCACTATCAACAACTAGATTACCACGCACAAGCCCTTCTGTACCATCCATGGCAATAGTTCTAACAATATTTTCTCCTAAAAAATTTCTTGTATGTTTATATGTATGTATGTATGTATGTATATGTATGTATATATATATATATATGTATATATATATATATATATATATATATATATATATATATATATATATATATATATATATACAGCGACGTATCCAGGCCGATTTTGATACCGGTTCACTGGTATGGGCCCCCAAATTTCAGCCCAAATTCAATTTAAAACAGTTTTATATTAGCATTTGTTACGATCACAGAAATACCAACATTTGGAAAAATTTCAAATGAATTTACCTAGTTATAAATACGCTATGTAATAAATCTTATCAAGTTTTTATCAAAGAGTCATACAAATATTTTTTATTCAACGTTATAGTTATTGCTTGTTTATGAAATTATACTCTTTATATTTCTAGTTAATAATATTTATAATTTTGAATTAAATAATTTAATTTAATAATTTAATAAATAGTATTAATTATAATTTATAAATAGTAAGTGAGTGGAGCAAGTAAATGAAAAGTAGCGATTAACGATGAATCGATGTTGAAGTTGAAGCTGTCATTCTGTAATAAATGAAACATTATTTTGGTCAACTAGAAAAAACCTGAAATACTAGGGTGAGTTATATATTATATACGAATAATTGAATTTAAATTTTAGTAAAAAAAAAAAAAAAAAGGTCTCTAGGGTAAACAGTAATTTTAGACTGGTATGCCTAAAAAAATTCTGGCTACGTCAATGATATATATATATATATATATATATATATATATATATATATATATATATATATATATATATACATCACAATATTTAATAAAAACTTTCGGTTGTGCACCAAAAGTTTTTATTAAATATTGTGAGTATAGACTTTCTTTTTTTATATAAAAAAACTACAACTTTTTTAAAAAATTTTTATCCGCAAACTATAACAATTTAATTACTCAAAAGCTTTATTTATATTTTTTTGTATTCTTTAAGTTTAAAAACCAGAAAAATCCTACAAAAATATAGGTCCTATTTAATATAGGCCTTTATTTAAATTTGAAATTAGGTCCATATAAAATAGTGAAAGGCTAATAAAGCAATAGTGAAAACTATTAGATTGGTTTTACATGGATTGTTATTTATGTACTAGTAAACTTGGACTAACCTAAATGCTGTGCAACTTCTAAAACCAATCTAGATTCACGTCCTTGTACTTCTAAGGCATTAAGAATGGAAGGTAAATTTGATTCAAACTGTACATCTACAACAGCACCAATAACAGCAACAACCTTTCCTATTGAACCACCAGCTACTTCTTGTTTAGCTGGAGCATTCTTAGCAGCTACAGCAGGTGCTGCTTGGTTTTTTGAAACCTCGGTTGAAACAAATCTTTGAGCTGAACAAAAAAACATTTAAACAATTTATAATACTTTATAATTTTAATTTAAAAAAGTAATAACCTCAATGTGTTTTAAAAACATAAACATATTTCTGGCTTGCCCAGATGCTGGTTTAATCAAGAAAAACCAGTCATTTCGCATTCCAAAATGTTTGATAGAAAGGCATATTCCTCCGACAGGCCATTGAACAGACCAGAACAACACTTATATCCAAAACTTATTTAAATTTTGCAAAACTGTTACATTATAAAGAGTAAAAAAAATAATAAACAATATTTAATAATAATAACAATCATAATATCACAATTTCATATAGACTATTTTATAATATATTATAGTAGTATAATAGTAAATTAATATTTTAATTAATTAGCAAAAAATATAAATTTTTAGGAAGATATTGAATTTACATATTTACAAAATTACACAAGAGCAAAGTTTAAAAACTCTATTTTTTAATCATTAATAAAGACAACGGTATTGTTTCTTGTAAAAAAATCACACTGCTTGGAAGATTTTTTCAATATTATTTGATTATTTATTTATCCTCGTAAAATTTTTCTCAATAATTTTTTTTGCTGAGAAATTATAAACAGTGCAAAATATTTTTTTTAGTTTTTTTTTTGTAAAAAATATGCAAAACGCTAAAAATTACAATTCATTGCTTTTTTAAAATTGCTCAAAGTTCAAAATTTAAAAATATATTATGTAAATTAGGCTTACAATTAGATATACATGCTGGAAGGAGTCTTTTCTGAGTTTCTTTTATAAGAGAACTTTTTGTAGAACTTCTACAAAGAGATCTAACAGCCTGGCGAAACATGGTCCACTCGAGAAGAAATAGGAGGTGAAGTGAACAAGCAGTATTGCCTAATAAACTGCGCATGCGTTGGATTATAAGTAAATCAGACAATCTATGGTCAAACGCGTTACGTATTTTACTAACTCAATTTTTTTCATTTACCGGAACAAATGAGAAAACGCGGATTTTACTAACGGGGCACTAAATTTTTCTTTGTGCAATAATAAAATTTGAAACTTTTATAAATAGCATATTGCATACAATACTGTTCTTTGCTCAAAAAAAAAAAACTTTTAGTCAAAAAAAAAAAAAAACTTTTAGGACCTTTTTTTTTATAGGCAATTTCAGGCTCTGGACTATAAAAAGGCCTCCAAAAACAAGAATAGCCCCGGGGCCCAAGAAGTCTTAAACCGCCACTGCTTGGCAGTAATATAATTTAGATTGAAAGACGTTTTTTAAATTTAAATGAAAATCTTGTTGAGTTCAATAGACACCTTGTAAAGTTTACAATCTCAAAAATAACAGGGTTTTTAAAGATAATTAAACAGTTTCAATGTTAAAATTTAGTTGTTTAAACTATTAAGACCAAAAACGATCAAAAATAAAATAAAATTAAAACATGTTTAATTGCTCTATAAATAAACGTTGAATTAAGTTATACATTTTGTACGGCTTTTTGTAATAAGGAAACTTAAATTTATTTAGGTGACAAATTAGATAAGAGAAGGTTTATTCAGGCTGCATATAATATTAGAAGAAATTTTTATTTTAACGTGGTTTTAATTTTTCATTCAAAGTACTCTTAAAAAATATTGCAGATGTATAGTAAAACATGTAACCATATCCTTTAGATTGAATGCAATCGCTTTAAGTCACCGTCATGCAAAACTGGTTTAGACGCGTGACCCTTAATACGTCTATGACCAACTTTCGACTAATGTTAAAGTTTATTTTTGCAGCGTATAGTTGTTGAGTTAAGATATTCAAAAATTAGGCGCACGCAAAAAAAGTCTTTGCGTATACTACATTACATGTAACCACACCTTTAAGAATAAATGCAATCTCGAGTCACCATCATGCAAAACTGGCTTTTGCGCGTGGCCCCTTATACGTCTAAGACCAATGTTTTGGTTTGCTGTGCGTTGTTGAATAAAGTTATAGGAAAAATTAATTTATTTAAACTGTTGAAGAAATTATAATAATAAAAGTTAAATAAATTTTTAATTTGATTTTCAAAAAGTCTAAGTAGTGGTGTTAAAAAGAATTTCTTTGGGACAACGGTTTTACTTTAATTTACAATATTACTTGAATTTTTATGTAACTTTTGAACTCATTACTAAAAAAGTTAATTTGTTTAGTAAAGAAGTTGTAGAAATTTTAGAAAATCTTTTGCAAAAATTTTAAAATTGTTCAGAGACTAGTACTTTTAAAAACTTCTCTAGGACTTTTAGTGTTTAAATGGGTTGCTATTTAATTTATAAATTTTTACTTAGAATTTACAAACTTAAACTGAAGATATTAAACTTTGTTTTAACATTATTAGTTTTTTTTTAACTTAACTAATTACTTTTAGTTTTTTTGATGTATAATTGTAAGAAGTTTTGAAATCTTGATAGGAAATTAAGAGATGTTATATAACTGAAAGATAATATATATATATATATATATATATATATATATATATATATATATATATATATATATATATATATATATATATATATATATATATATATATATATGTATATATATATATATATATATATATATATATATATATTTATATATATATATATATATATATTAGTATATATATATATGTATATTAGTTAGAAAACATCAATTAATACGAATTCTCTTTATACAACTAATAATTTATTATTAGAAAATTTTGCTGGATTATGGTGACCAGCATCATCAGCTCGTAAAAAATTATACATAAGATTTTTTTGTAATGTTAGAAACAATTTTAAATTAACTGTCAGTTAATTCTAAACTGTTTCTAATGTTATAAAAATTTTGTATAAATTTTTACAAGCTGATGATGCTGGTCACCATAATCCAGTTGAATTTTTTAATAATAAATTATTAATTGTATGACAACCCTCATTTATGTACTGACAAATACTCTTAATTTGTATTAATTGATGTTTTCTTACTAATATAATAATCTTAACACGATGTCAACACTAAAGATATATATTACATGTATATATGTTATATAATATATATATATATATATATATATATATATATATATATATATATATATATATATATATATATATATATATATATATATATATATATATGTAATTAAAGTGAGCAGAGTATATTAGTCTTATTTTGACATCCGCAGACTAGAAAAAATCTTGACTGCTGTCAGTGAGTTGCTAATAGATTCTGCTTATTATATTTTTTAAAATTTTTTATGGTAGTAATGTCCTTCATATAAAAATACTCCTTTCTCAAACCCTCATTTATGTACTAACCCCACCTATATCTACAGGAACAAATATTTTTAGTATTTTATATTTATCTTTTCTTTATTTAAAATTGAAGGTCCACACTCAAAACTGTAAAAAAAAGTTTCCAAATGTTATCTTAATCTACTAAGTTAAAGAAATAACAAATTGAAGTTTATGTTTTCATATAATTTACAGTTTGGGTGTTAATCTTTAATTGAAAATATTGCATGTTTTGTTCTATTTTATAATTTCAAAAATATTATTTATTTATACAGACATTTTAAAACTAAAATAATGATAGACAGTTTAACATATTTTTTTACCCCTGCTGCAGCTATTTTCCTGGTTTTAATAGTTTATTTATTTATTCATCTGTTTACTAAAAGCAAGTCTTTAATTCGATATTATGGTGAATTTGTTGGTACGTTTGTTTCTTGTGTATGCATTCTGGAAATCAATATCATAAATGTTATTTATGGAAGCACATCTTTGTATGGTTTATGTAGCGCATATTTCCACCTTTTTTTAAAAAATATATTTTTTGTGAAGACAAAATTGCATGGATCACCATTGGCTTTTATAGATTTATTTTATGTGTTTAACAGAAAGTTTCATTCTAAGTTTGAGATTGTATTTATGATTTTTATACAGCTTATAGCATCGCTGTCAGGCTTTGGTTTTACAAGGTTTTTTTGGGCAATTGTTGATCAAAAGCACATAAGTGCATTAGAATATAGTTGCAATTCTTCTCTCTCCTCATCGTATGCATGGCAGTATGGTGTTTTAATGGAAGCTATGGGTGTTTTTGCATGTGTTTTTATAGATCTTGTAACTCCTGATATATTGAAATATTTTGTAAGACCTTCTATGACTTTAGTACTTATACACTTTTTTGGAGATGTGACGGGAATGTGGATGAATCCAGTGCTAGCCACTACACATACTTTTCGCTGTCTTGGTCATCAAAGTGATTGGCAGCATTTTGCAGTTTATTGGTTGGGCCCTGCTCTTGGTCTTCTCATGGTTTGGGAAATAAAGTTGCTTGTGAAATCATATTTGAAAAAAGATAAAAAAGAATAAGACTTTGAAAGTTTTAAAATCTTATAAAAAAAAAATCTAGTTAAACAGAGCTTGTGCAAGTTTACATAGCACAACAAAACACATTTACCAGGTTGCTTTTTTCTAATTTTAATATTTTAAAAAGGAAAGAATCCTGATTCTGAAGACTCCTTGATACGGATACTAAAAATTAAAGATCTTGAAAAAAAAATGTATAAAATTATGTTATTTTACTAGATTTTTAATAATAATTTATATAATTAAATTGTTGTTTTTTGTAATTTATTTAAAAATTTTAATTTTAAAAAAAAAGTGCCTTAATTAGAACAAGTTTATTTTATTTTTTGTGCGTTTAAATTTTATCCTTCGTATTATGAATTTCTGCATCTATTTTATTTTTTAAGCAACATAAAAGATAACAAACAAATATTTCTGGGAATTGTTATACTAACCTAAGTATCAAAAATTTTTGAGGTATTTTTCGATAAGAATATTTCATACAAAACCTACATAAACTTTTTATAGAAATAAATATGACATTCGAGGAATAGGAAATTTTGAGGTGGAACCATGCTAAAAAAATGTTTTGTGTTTTTTATCATTGTTTTTATTAGAAAAGCTACCTATCCTTCAGAAGAAATTGATTTTTATACATTGTTTACATTAAAAACCTATTTAAAGTAATAAAATTGTCATCTTTTATTAACAATTGTTCATAGCAACCACAATAAGTTGTCAATTTCTACTTTTTATCTACTAAAACATTTTAAATAATCTATATCTGTGTTATTTAAAATTATGCGTTTCTATTGTTTTTTTCGTAGATTGCTCAAGAAACATACCTTTATAATAATTTTTTACTTTTACCTTTTTAATAATTTTTTAAAATACGTGAGTGTATTTGTAAAAAAATTAATATAAAGGTAAAGAGGTTTATAAATCTCGTAAGCTTATATATATATATATATATATATATATATATATATATATATACATATATATATACATATACATATATACATATATATGTATTAAATTGGGCTAATATATATGTATTAATTTTACTAAGTTAATAAACTTGTAGATGCTTTAAAACGAAATAAGGCAACTGTTGACAGTGCTGGTTTAACCCACGGACACGTGTCGGGAGGCCATGGAGTTCAAGGGGCCAGAGCATCTAAGTTAACTTTTAAAAGATATATAATTTGAAAGAAAAAAAATTATCAGCCTCTATCCTTGACTTCCTATCATGTCACAGAGATTTTTAATCTTTGCAATAACAGCGCAAACGACATATCGCAAACTGGAGGTTTTTTTTAACGACTTGAAAGAACTAGTTCTTTTAATCTAAATCTAAAGTGAAGCTTAGCATGAGTAATTACAAAATCAACATTTAAATCAATTTGTTACTATTCAAAACTTTTACATTTAATAGAATAGTATTATAATAAAAATTTACCTTATTAAGTTGTCTCGGAAAAAGTAGTGATAAAAATAAAAATAAAAAATATTGTACATATATATATATATATATATATATATATATATATATATATATATATATATATATATATATATATATATATATATATATATATATATATATATATATATATATATTAAATACTATTAAAAAATGGAATTAAAAAAATATTCATATAGCCAAGGTAATATTTTTTGCAATATAGCAATTGTGGCAAATTTTTTTTTATTTGCCTTCTACATTATTTGCAACTTTTTCGTTCAACTCTAATCTTCCCCGCTTTGCGCGACCTTGGCTCCTATCTTTTGCGTTTTGAAGCTTTTCCTCCACTACGTCTTCTACTTCAGCAGCTGTAGTTTTTTTTGTTAATGGATTGAGTCGAGCTGTACCTAATTAAACAAAAGAAAATTTAAATCTATTTATAAATTTTATAAAGTGCATTGTTAAATTTAACAAATATAGTTTTTCGCCATAACTATCGAAAATTGGTTAAACAAGCAATCAATATAAGCATTGCAGCATTATCTTTTTTTATTTAAATTTTTAATACATCTAGACACTGGCGTAGGAAGGATTATAAAGTTTTTAATACATCTAGACACTGGCGTAGGAAGGTTTATAAAGTTTTTAATACATCTAGACACAACTTATAATGCTTAAACGTAAAAAAATGTTTTTTAAAAAAAGTAAAAAAAGTAAGAAAAAAAAAAACAACTACAAAAAAGTTTATGTAAACGTAAAAAAAACGTAATAAAAAAAAAATAATAAATTAAGTATTTTGTTCAAAAGTTTGCCAAGAATTTTTCTTTTACAGTTTTGACTAAAAATGCAGACCATAAGTAACATTTTCTTACCAACTATTTATTCTAGCCATAAATACTGTTTACATATTTTAATTGTGTTCATTATTTCTTTAGTATAGAAGTAAGTTTTTTGCAACAAAAAAATAAAAATAATAATAATAAAAAAAAATTAAACTAAAAATAATTGGATAATATTAGGCTAATAATTTAAACAACAGAACAATAATTGTTCAGTAGTTTAAAAATTAACTCGAGAAAACTAGCACACGTTGGCCCGATGTCAGGCTGACGTTGGGCCAACGTGTGCTAAAATTTACTTCTGGATAACTATGTTTTAAATGTGCATTGTGGTTTTCTATGCTTTGTTTACTCAATTATTAAGTAAGCTAAGTGCAGAAAACCACAATGCAAATTTAAAACATTGCATTCCCACGTTATGCCGACGCAATTTTTCTAGCCGATACTAAAAACGTTGGCCCGACGTCGGGCCAACGTGTTCGTGATATCTGGGGTATACTGATGCAACAGAAAGACAGCAACAAAGTAATCCAAAAAAAATATGAAAAACTTTAGTCGTTGTATGAGTTAACATTGTTTAAATGCTACTCCATTTAGAAAACAAAATATAAAAACAGCAAAAGATAAAAATAAATATAGATAATAATTGCTAGAGAAAGAAGCGTACCGCAGCTGAAATGAAAAACAACCATGTTGATGATAATACACGAATAATGAAACATGTTATTATTAATGGTGTTAATAATAATCATGTTTACGCGATCATGTTTCTCTTAATAAATTTGTAAGTGCAATTGTAAGTGATAAGTGTGTTGATTATGAAACAAAAAAAATATAAAAGAATGAAAATTTTTTTAAAAATGTCAAAATTTTGCACGACCTGTAGAGTATGGATTAAAATGTTTACAATGATACAATTTTTAGAAAGCTCAAAATACATTAGGGTGCATTGAAATATTTGGTGAAAAATAAATAGTCAAAATTTGTATATTTAATATCAATAAAAAATTGCTTTTTGATTTAAAGTTATTAAATTCCCAAAAAAAAATTATTGCTTTTCAGGTGTTCAAAGGGGTAAAAAGAGCCAAAATGGTGCTTTTAATTTCTATTTTAGAGTTTTAGAATTTGTTTCTTACTTTTTTTTAACATTTAGTAATGCTATTTTTTAATTGTGAAAAAATTTAATAGACTTTTTTAGCCTTTAGCCCTCTTTTACCCCTTTGGGGCACCTGAAGACCTTAATTTTTTTTTGGAAATTCAATCATTTGAAATAAAAAAAGTTATAATTGAAACTAAATTAGTATAAAGTTGGAATATAACTTTTAAACTTTGTTTTTCAAAATAAAACGTTTTAAAAAAAAACTTAAAAAAAATGGTTTCAGGTTTCCCAAAAGCGTTAAAGGGGGGCCAAGAACTCATTTTAATTTTTAATTGTTTATTTACAATTAGCTTTGCAAATATTTAATTTAGAAAAAAATCGCTCGGGGCACCAAAAGACTATGAATTTTTAACTATTTTTTTTGTTGGGAATTTTACAATTTTAAAGCAAAACTTTTATTGCTATTACATTTTTTTTTTTTTTTTTTTTTTTTTTTAGTGTAATTTATTTCGCCGTTAAAAAAATGTTGACAATGCATATACATTTATATAAATTGATGGCTGGAGCAAGAAGAAGGCACATTTCGCCTTATCGCCGAGCCCCATTAAAAATTCTACATAACCGTAACATACAAATATATATTATAAAAGAAACAACCCAGCAAGGAAAAATACGTATATTATACATATAAAATACGTCTTTGTCCTACTCTTCGATACGTATATTCTAATTCTTAAATGCAAATCTATAATACGTATTAATTAGATGATTACAATGCGTTGGTAATAGACGTATAATATACGTATTTAAAATACGTCTCAGATATCTATAATTTAAGTATTAAATGCAAATCTATAATTCGTATTAATTAGATAAATAAAATGCGTTGATAATAGACGTATATAAGACGTATTTAAAATTATTAGGTTTCTATAATTTCTGTATTAAATGCAAATCTGTTTATTTATAGATGTCAAATCTGTAATACATGTTCGCAAAATGAAGAGTAGATTGTTGTATTATCTACCGTTGTATAATTATTGCGGAAATAGATTAATTTCTATCTTCGCAGCCATTGTTTTACCACAAAAATTGTGTTGTACAACCGACGTTAATTTGTGCAACTATGCTAGACAACGTTTCCATTATAAAACAAAGTTGTTACAGAACTGTTGTACAACATTTCTACAACTATTGGAAACCAAGCTTAAAAGAACATTAAAACATTTTGAATTGTATAATATTATTGTTTATTTATTTAAAAAAAGTAACTATATACTATAACATAAACTATATACATATAATATAATATAAATGTTAGATATCAATGGAATGGTTCAATCTTCCTGGTGCATTCTTTAGTTTATTCCCGACAACTCTAAATAATTCTTTTTCACTAACGGTATACCTGTCTTGTAACGCTTCTAAAATAAGTTAAGCAAAAATATTTAAAATTAAAAATATCGTCAGCTTAATATATATATAGTTGAATACGACACTTAAGTGTCGCATTTATCATTTTTGAAAAAAATGACTATGTACAATATAAATTGTATCTCACCAAACATAACGTCCTTTAACTTAAGGTTTTCAAACGATATTTTGTTTTCTCTGCCTTTACGTTTACTCCCTTTAATGTTCATATTCGCCATCAGGTTTACGGAAAATAATCTAAAATCGAAAAAATATTAAAGGTAAGATCTGAAGGTGAGATCTGAATGTTGTTAAATTCATTCTTGTTTACCGCTTATTTTGACTGTTATTGTATAAAAAAATGTAATTTAAAAAAAAGCTGCAACAAATTGTTTTAAAACAAATCAATCGTTATTGTTTTGCAGTGGAAGCTATTAAAGTTCCACCACTTATATGGAACCATCAGGCCGTAATAGTCTTAAGAGAAGCAAGAAATATTTTATATAAGTGCAAGGAAGTGCAAGATAAATTATAATATTTGGACAGATGTCCAGAATTAAGAGTTGTTGTTTAAAAGAAGGGTACTATTCAGTAATTAAGTTTGAGTTAAGTAAGTGGTGGTCATGTTAGATTTAAGTACGTGTTGTTGCAGTGTTCTGTAAGTTATTGTGTTTTGTGTTTGTATTGCTCTAAACGTTAAAGTTTTATGTGTCATTTAGTGTTTTTATTGCTTTGAATCTGTGTGTTCGTAAATAATGGTTCTTAGTCTCGCTCAGTCCAGTCTTATCATGTTCTCTTTACATATCAGGTTCGCAACTAGAATAAGTGAGTATAGTCACTAGTGGAACATATTTAGACGTAAATGCCTTAGACGCATGCAAACGTGCAAAAATACCTTAAAAGCATGCAACCTTATAATAAAAATATTCGTTTTAAATTTAGTTTATATACTCAAAGATCGACAAATACAATAATTCTGTTTATTTACATGCAACCCGAATACCTTCAGCCACAGATAAAAACAAAAGAATATCTAAGTAAACCTATCTGAATTTATCAGATAAATATTCAAAAACATTTAACAAAAATCAAAACAATTATTAACAATTGCTATCGTTGTGGTAAGCATAATGTGATACACAATTAACCTAATATAACACAATTACTCAATTCTTTAGATAAAAAGTACAACTTTAAAGCAGAAGTATTACAACAAACAACAAAAACAAACATTTAATATAAAGTGGAAACGCGCGCATGATTGTTTAAAGAAAGAAAATAAAAATACATCAGCGTTAAAATAAAATTCAAAATTATGTAGTATAATACCAGATTCTCGTCAGGAAGTGGACATTGTATTGATCCTTATAAAGATAATACTCTGGTATTTGACGTTTCGAATGTTTTAATGCTCATTTCTAGAAACTCCCGTCGGGGTAACATCCTCAAAACAAGCAAATAAAACCCACCTCTACGTCTGTGTCAAAGCCTTCTTATGTTGCAACATTTGAGAGGACATACTACTGCTCAGCCAAATACCCTAACTTGATCCATTTTAAACAAATTACGCTGATATACTTTTTAGAAAATTATTAAAACACGTTGCGCAAGAAGTAACATTAGAATACAAAAAACTTATAAGTTAAATTATTCCTAAATACTCAAGTACAAATTGAAGGCAAACAAACACACAACAAAATAAAAAACAATTAAGATAAAAGACTTACCATAATTTGATATTGAATAAGAATAAGTCTTGAAGGATATTTTGCGCAATGCCAATGAGCAGTTTATAGAGCGCATGTAAATTGTGATATTATACACAGATGTTGTATGACGTAAATTTGCGGTTAATCAAAATATCCCTCAAGCGAAGCCTCAGTAAATAATAACGCTATTGGTCAAAAAATATCTTAATTGATTGGAGGATGAAAGTGTAAGGTGATTGGTTAATAATGTTGTGTTTAGAGAACATAAAAAATATATAAAATATAAAAAAGAGAGAACATTCAAAAGTGTCCTAAATTATTAAGATAATAAATTTTAACTCAATCAGTTAGGGAAAAGAGTATCGCGGGATCAAAGACATACAATGCAATAAAAGCTCCAATTTGTGTCTTAGATCCACAATGCAAGACAAAATATATTTAAGCGAGTTTTTAAGGTAAATAAATCTAATTGAAAAAGGTGCAATTTTTGTCTTAGATCCACAATGCAAGACAAAATATATTAAAGCGAGTTTTTAAGGTCAATAAATCTAAGTGAAAAAACTGCAAGGTTTCAATTTAAATTTAAATAAACTTGTCTTTAGCGGCTTAAACTAACATTTATTTGTCAAATTGATATTAGCAACCGACAACAAACGGAAAAATGGTAAACTCATACAAAAGCCCTGCCTCACCGCGTACACTTGTCCAGGTATGCAAGGTGACAACAACAAAAGCGATTCCCCGCATCAGCCTACGCTGTCGGATTCGTGGTACATCGCTAAGATTAACCAGTGCATCCTCAAGACGCAAACCTATCGGAACAAAGCCCCATTGCTGACCCCCTCATAACGGAACACGATCACACGAGCAGCGACACAAAACGCAATACATTTTATTATGGTCCATAATTATGGTCCATAATTATGGACCATAATTATGGACCATAACCATATTATGGTCCATAATTATGGACCATAATATGGTTAACTAAATCAAAATTACAATAGTAATTTTATTTTAAAATGATATTAAAAAAGTTAACTGGAGAATAGAGTAACAACCAAGAACGTAAAGATGTACAAAAAGCTGTCTATAAATCGAGTCAATAAATAAGAAGCAATAGCTGAATAACAACATTTATTTTTTACAATTAGTATTTATCTTTATTCAAATATATTCGACTAAAGGTCGTCTTCAAAAGACGTTCAGAATACACATTTTTTTCGCATGCCTTTGTGGTCTCAAATAAAAACTTCAAAAAAAAGTATTTAAAACATTTTTTAATGATGACTTTAGTCTTTTAAAGACGTTTTAAACACGTATTATATTTGTTTGCGAAAGATATCTTTCATATATAGAAATAATACGTATTTAATACGTCTCTTAAAGATAAGTTTTATATTCAGCTAAAACTCATCTTGAAAATTCGTTTTTTATGCGTATTTTTATCGTCTACTCTAGAAAAGATGTGAATAATATTAAAATAATACGTATTGAATACGTCTTGTCCTTGCTGGGAATTAGAAATGAAATAGAAAATAACTAATATAATAAAAAAAATAAAAAATAAGAATTAATTAAGAAGCGTTAAGATGCTTAACAGTTGCTAAAATGTTTAAGAAATAAGTTAATATAAAAAAAAAAAAAAAAAAAAAATCCTGAATATAAAAGAAATTGAAAAAATAAAATCTCATAATTAACACTTAATGAATATGTAACATCATCACTTATGACATCATCACTTGTGACATCATCACTTGGATTTCTTATTCTTTTTTTTTTTTTTTTTTCTTTTTTTTCCTTTTTCTTTCTTTTCTTATTCATATTATCATATATCATTGATATAATTGAATCTGTTTTTTTTTTATTTTTTTTTTATTGTGTTTACTTTAAAATAAACATTTAAAGTCGGATTTATTGAGATCCATGAACAATAATAATCATTTTGATTCATCCTTAAATTGCTCTAATGTAGTCTGCTTTTTGTTAACAATATCTGGAAATTTCTTCCACAGGTAAGGTCCGCGGTATTTAATTGAATAGGAAGTTAATTTTAATTTATGTTTTGGAACAACAAAATTGTTTTCTGAAAACTTTGTTGAGTACCTATGGTTAATTTTATTAAAATAAGATTGAAATATTTTAGGAGACAATTCCTTTTTTGTTTTAAACATAAAAAATAAAACTTGGTGTAAATTGAGTTTATATACATTTAAAGCATCGAGCACACTTAGAAGTGGTTCGCAAGGAACATTTCTGTCGGCTCCAAATACTATTCTACATGCATGTTTTTGTTTATTGTACTCTACAATAAACAAAAACATGCAGTTTTGTATGGCTAGTACTAACCCACACAACATTACAATAAGACAAATAACTGTGAATAAAGGCGAAATATAATTTTTTCAGAGATGATATATTTAGAAAGGGTTTAGCCCTAAACATCATTACAATATTTTTTGAGATTATTTTTTCAATGCTATTTATATGTGAACACCATTTTAAATTTTCATCCAATTTTACTCCTAAAAAGTTTATGTAAGATTCCCTTTTAATATAAGTTTTATTAATATTAAGATCTGGTAATTTAAGAGGAATATTTTCTGATTTATTTACTTTATGGAAAAGCATATATTTTGTTTTTTCCGCATTTAGTGAAGGTTTATTACTTATGAACCATGCACTAACATTACATAACTGTTCGTTAACTATTTTAAAAAGTGATTTAATATCTCTGTGAGAACAAAAAAGATTTGAATCATCAGCAAACAAAATTAGGTCTAAAAGATTTGTTGATAGGTATAAGTCGTTTATGTACAATATAAATAAAAGTGGTCCTAAAATAGAACCCTGAGGAACCCCGCAAGTTATGGAGTGTGGAATTGTATTATTTTGATTATAGTATAAAAATTGCTTTCTGTTAGTCAGATAATCTTTGAACCAAAGTAAGTTTTTATTTTTTACACCGTAGTTTTCGAGTTTTTTTATTAGTATATAGTGATTTACGGTATCAAAAGCTTTTGACAGATCAATGAAAACTCCTAATGTAAAACAGTCATTATCTAAGGCATTAGATATTTGATTGGAAAGTTCAACTACTGCGTGTTCAGTGGAATTTTTTTTTTTAAAACCAAATTGTTTACAATACAACATGTCGTTCTCAGTTAGATGATTATAAAGTCTGTTATACATTATTCTCTCTAACAATTTTGAAAAACAAGGTAAGATTGATATAGGCCTGTAATTTAAAATATTTGACTTATCTCCAGATTTAAAAATTGGTGTTATACGGGCAATTTTTAATTTATTAGGAACAATACCTGACTTTAATGAGAAATTGAAAATGTGAAATAAAGAAGGTTCAATGACTTCAAATACTGATTTGACAACATCAACACTAATTTTATCAAAACCTTCACTTTTTTTACTTTTGAGACTGCTAAATGCAGTTCTCAACTCACTCAGTTTTAAATCAGTTTCATCCATAAGTTTATCATAAGTTTTTAAGTATGAATCAAATGGAATGGAATTAGTAGAAATTTTAGCAGCCAAATTCGGGCCAATATTAACAAAGTAGTTGTTTAGTTCTTCAGCTATAATTGATTTTTCATAAACTAATTCTCCATTAATTAAAAGATTTTTTGGCAGAGTGCTTTTGTTATAATTATTTTTTCCAATTAAATCCTTAATTAAATTCCATATTTTTTTAGTGTTTCCGTTGGTTTTCTTTAATAATTGATCATAAAATAGTTTTTTTTGAGTATTTTTTGGTTTTTTCAAATATATTTTTATAATTTTTGTAAGTTATTTCATTTTTACAAGTTTTTTTTTTTAAGATATTTTATATATAATTTTTCTTTCTTTTTTGAAGATTTTAGTAAGCCTTTAGACATCCAGGGAGCTTGAAGTGACTTGGTATTTATGACTTTTTTTATTTCTGGAAACGCTATTTCATATTGTTTGCAAAATGATTAAGAAACAAGTCATATGCATTGTTAGCCTCATTTGATTGCAGTACTAGATTCCAATCAACACAATTTTTTAAACAATTTTTAAATTGTTTTAAGGAGTTTTCATTGATCTGTCGCCGAATTATTATGGATTTTGTGGAAATATTGTTAATTAAAATGTTATTTGTAGCTAAGAATGTAGGAAAATGATCCGATAAATCGGTCTGGATTATACCTGTGTAAAGAGGGTTATTATGAAAGTTGTTAGTTATGATGTTATCAAGTAGAGTAGAAGACCTATTTGTTATTCTTGTTGATTTGTTTATTGTTGGGATAAAGTTATATTGTAGAAGAGTATTTATAAAATTCTTACTATTATTATTTGAAGCATAGTTGATCAGGTTTATGTTAAAATCACCCACCAAATAAATATGTTTTCTCGAATTTGTAATTTTGTTTAGAAATGTTTTAAGATGAGTTTTTAAATTTCTTTAAGTTTCCAGATGGTGGTCTATATGTAGTATTTATAATTATGTTTTTTTCTTTATTATTTACTAATTCGACCCACAATGATTCATAATCTGTTTCATTGACGCAGAGATCGTTACGTAAAATATAATTAACTGAATTATGGATAAAAATACTAACGCCCCCACCCGCATTAACTTCACGCGGTTGGTGAATTGATGTGTAATTAACTAGTTCAAATTCATAATTTGTTTCACCGCATTTACACCAAGTTTCCGTCAAACATATAATTTTAAAATCGTGTTTAATTTCATCCAATAAAATTTTTAAATTTTCAAAGTTTTTATTTAAACTTCGAATATTGATATTTAAAATTGAAAAAGTGTTTTTAGTTTGTCCTAGATATTGCGAAGATTCAGAAACTGAGTAGTATTGACTTTCTAGCATTTTGTGATTAAAATAATTAGAGTCGGTGTCATTATCACCGATGATGTCATTTTCATTAGAAGATTTAAATATGACATTTTCCTCCATTTTTAAAACAGTTTAATTAAATATGCATAGTAATAATAAAAATAAAATTGCGTTAATTAATGCCAAATATTATGAAGATAACATTTTGCTTTTCTTTGCAACCCAATCGCGAATTATCAATTTATCATAAGATATGAAGGCAAACTTACCAGCGGCTCGTTCAATTTTCATTTTCTCCCTCAAATTTTTTCTGATTTGTGTTGTTTCAAAACAGAAGTCTTCGTTTATATAAATGTTTTTCCCTTTTAGCTTACTCGACTTGCTCAAGATCGCGACTTTATCTCTAAAATCTAAAAGTTTTATCACTATTGTCCTCGGCATTTTTAATTTTTTGTTTCCAGTTCTATGGGCCCGTTCAATTTGGACATTTTTAACTGATAATATATCTTAAAAAATTTTTTTTACTTTCACTTCGCTTTCTTCCCAGCTTTCACCTTCATTTTCATCAATTCCATCTACTCTTAAATTGTTACGTCTAGATCGATCTTCCAATTCCCTTAACTTTTTTTGTATACTTTCTGAATTGTCTTCTTTACTGCAAACCTTTGCTTTCTTAACTTTTTCATCAATTAGTTGTTCATGAAAGTTTAAACTAAGTTTCAATTCTTCGATGTCTTTTTCTACTTTTTCCAACCTGCCATTAAATATTTTCAAGTTTCCACTAATAATATCAATAAAAACTTTTTCTTGTTGTTTTAACATCAACTCAAATTCTTTTTTGTAGTCCTCAAACAATTTTGTTATTTCTAATAATGTAACAGCCATATTATAAAAAAAAAAGATTTGTATTTTAGAAAAATAAATGTAAAGTAATTTCGCTTTAATAAAGTCGTTTAAAAAAAAAACACCTCCGATCGCGTTGAAGTTGCGGCTTTTTTTTTTTTTTTTTTTTTAAATTTAAAGAATCTAAATTTTTATTTTTTCGATGCACCCTAATATACATATTATTTCAATTAGAAACAATATTCTGTTTCAATGGAAGTAGCTGCTGCTGGTTCAACGGAAGCAGCTGGTGCTGTGTCAGTTGAAGGAACTGGTGCTACTTTTTGCACGTTCAATCAAAAATAATACAGTTGATTCCCGGTAAGTCAAATACCGATTAACTCTAACTTTTATTACCTGGAACTGAAACTCGTCTTTCATGGAAACATTGGTATAAAGGTCTATATTAAATGTATATACTTCACCATTGAATTAGGAAAAATTCGAGTTAAAGGCAATAGCCTTTTACTCGAACGAAAATCTCATATCAGCCAAAGTTTTATTTAACGGGAATTTGCTTTAATCGAGCATTCGTGAAGTGGAGCCGTTTTCCTTGGTCCCTTAGAAGTTCGAGTTATCGAGAATTAATTGTTTTATAGTCATTATTTTGGAGACGGAGATCATCTTAAAGTAGTATAAAAAATTTAAAGAAAAAACATAGTCAAATAAAAGATATGAATTAACTATAGAATAATTAGAATGTGTTGCACATAAATGTAGAATGAGAACGCGGCTACGTTACCTAATCAAAAGTTACAAATGAACGTTAAGACCATTAGCTGATAAACAGACTGAGAATTGATTAATAGTATAAAAAACTACTTTGTTTAGCACAAGGGTCGACAACCCGCGGCTCGCGAGCCACATGAAATTTTTTTTTTCGACTTCTGGTTTAGCCATTAGAAAAAATACAAACTGCATTTATGCCAATGAAATATTTTATCAAAAATAGTTGTCCCGTGTCTAACAATAATGAATATCTTTTAGATTAAAAATCTTAGTAATAACTATTCTTAAGTCTAACAAGAACCCTTAAAATAATTATTTAACTTGAACCCCCAAAATTAAAAAAAAAAAAACTTTTTAAAACTACTCTGCCCCACTTTGCTCTATTTTTAATTTCAAATTAAAATTTTTTAACGCTAAAGAAACTTCTTTTACTATTTTTAAATTAGAAATATGATAATATATATATATATATATATATATATATATATATGAAAATTTTAAATTTTAATAAAAATAAAATTTTTATTTATGCAAAAGTTATTAATATTTTTTACTCTATAATTTTAATTTACTCTATACTCTTTTACTCTATAATTTATTCTGCAATAATTGAATTAAACGATAAAAATTATTTAAAATTATCAAGCATTTAATCGAATTTTAACTAGTTTTTACAAAAGTATAACCTCAAACTAATACTTAATTTATAAACAAAAGATAAACCAGTCGAAAATCAAAACAATTACAAGTATTCTGGATTCTTTTCCAGTCTTCTAATAGTATTTAAAAATAAAATCGTATTCTAAAATCAAAGCTAATCTTGTGTAAAAAGCAACAAAATAAGATACCAATAGATACTTCTTTTACTAAAAATATTTTAGGTTCAGTATGAACCTAAAATATTTTAATGCTTTTGATAGATGTTAATTTTATAGAAGTTTAGTACTTCTATAAAATTAACATCTATCAAAATTTGTTGCTCATGCTTAAATATAAACTTGGAATTCTCCCGCCACATTTTTCAAGAGTTTTTTAAATGCAATAGAAATAGATATAATACTCAAGGAACAGGAAATTTTAATGTAGCAAATAAAATTTAAAATAAAAAACGTTTCTCTATTTCGTATTGCGGCCCTTACCTCTACAACAAACTAATTTCTAAAAATACTGCAATTACAAAATTACATAACCTAAAATCACTGAAAATATTATTAAAAAAGCATGTTCTACACCTTTTCTCGATCAATTTAAAAGAAATACGAATCAATTTAAAAGTAATACGAATCAATTTAAAAGAAATACGAATCAATTTAAAAGAAATACGAATCAATTTAAAAGGAATACGAATCAATTTAAATTAGTATTTCTTTTAAATTGATTCGTATTTCTTTTAAATTGATTCGTATTTCTTTTAAATTGATTCGTATTCCTTTTAAATTGATCCAGAAAAGGTGTAAACATAAACAATTTCACGAACTTAACGTATTTTAAAAAAAAAAACCTAAAAATTAACTTCAAAACAAAATATATATTTTATTTATATTTCATGTTTGTCAATATAATTTTTTACTAGACCACCTTAAGTATAACAACCCATGTAATTATATATTTATGTGTATCAAATACAGCTCTTTTCTCTTTTTGATTATCTAATAGCTTTTTATATGACACTAATGCCACTAATATGTGACTCTAATGCCACTAATATGTGACTCTAATGCCAAGAGACTGCTACACTGAAATTTTTTAACAAATTAAGTTTACAAAAATATCGCAACTAAAAGCGGTTTCTTGATGACAAGACCACATGGTCTTTTGCAAGTTTTCCGCGTTCTTTTAACAGCCTTACTTTTTATATTTATTATTTGTGCTAAATTTATTATTTGAACTAAAAAAAGTTCTTATTATATGTACGATACTTTATCTTATAGATTGTAAACGAATCAGTTTATATTATGATCACGTATTTGTAAAATTTTGATAAAAGAACAAAAAAAAAAAAAAAAAAGATGTAGCGGTTGTACTTCGCGCGTGATTAGCCACGTAAGTAATAAAACATATTGAATTTAGCAATAACGGAGATTAATAATAATAAAACAAAGCGTCTATTATTATCACTTCTTTCTTTTTAACAAAGTTTCAAAGTAATTTCACAAATTCATTACTTGCTGAAATCAAAGCAATATGTATGGACTGAATGTAATTACTACTTAACTAATGCTGTTGTTCAGGTGATTTATTGTCAAGTGAAACATCTTTACTTATATTGGAAACTTCTTTCAAAAACCTTTTCAACTGCTTTTTATATATTTCCTCGCTAGCTTCAAGTTCATCATAATAAATAGGATTATCGAGACCTTCGTCTATTTCATTGCCAAAATTATACAATTTCTTCTCACCTAATTTTATATTAGAATTCGCAGAAAAAAGAGATGTGCCTAATTGCTTTCTAAAAGCTGATTGAAGACGGATCGAATCAGTTGAATCCTTTCCTTTTGATAAATCAAGTTTTTCATTTGACCTAGAATTAATAAACTTATACAAAAATTATAGATATTTAAAAATTAAGAATATAAATATTTATATAAAAATTTTATAATTTATTATTATACATATTAAAATATATTAAAATTTTTTAATATATATTTTAATATATACATATAAAAAATTTGCAGCTTATATAAAAATTTTAAAGACAAGAATACATAAATATATATTTTATAAAAGCTCAGGGTATTTTTAAAATAGTACACACCTATGGCATGTAACTAGCTGTATTATACATACTCATACATTTATTTATACATTCATATATACACATATGCACGCACATACAAACGCACATAAAATACCCACCCACCCCAGGCAATAATAGATTTGTCAATACTTTCAAATATATACAGAAATCTCAATAAGCTACTTAGATACACATTAAAAACTAGAACACTTTTATATTTTTTAAGACTTTTGCTTCATTAGTTCAGGAATATTTCCAGGACTCTGTTTTTCCAAGACTTTTACTTCATTTATTGCTAGGACTCTATTTTTTTAATAACAGTCCTAGAATAAAACAATATAATACTTATATCAACAGCTTTGTATCAAAATTTCAGAAAACATATAAAACAATTTCAATTTTGGGTGCAAAACAGGTTTATGAACCGTGGTTATTAGTCTGTCAGCTTTTATTTTTGAAATAGATTGTTTTCTTTTTTTGAGACTAATGAAATATCTTATAAACTTTCTGTGTCTATCAAGGAGTGATTAAACCTGATTGAGCTTATTTAGCACATATTTTATTTTCACATCATCTGTCAATAAAACTGAAATAATTATGTGTCTCATGCTTTCATTGTTTTCAAATATGCAATAGGTAGCTCGTCTGCTAGGAGACCAATACAAAATGGTCACAAATTTAAGACATTCTCACCAACAAAAACCAATAAACAGATCGAGTCTTTTTTAAAAAAATTTCGTTTCCACAATTACCTTAAGACATAAAGAAAATAGCAAACTTTTAGATCCATCTGATGAGACATAGTCAGAATGTCATCTGATGATATCCTGATGACACCTGTAAATTCTTTGATTTATCTATATTAGAAATTCAGTTTTGATTGCACTTGATGTTTGCATCAAGTACAATTGAATGGCATATAAACTCTGATTTAAGATAACAAGTTTTTACCATATTAACTTTGTCATCTCAAATTTGACCCTTCTGAAATACTTGGTTTATAGATTCATCAAATAAGTGTAATAAGAAAAATTAGATTTTTTTTTTTTTTTTTTTAATTCACCTCCTCAAGGCCGAGAAGGCCACTACAGACGAGGAGGCTACTTATTTGTGGTTATAACCCTCTCTCAACTCTATAACTCCGAAACACGAACCTTGACGAGCAAGGCCGCTGCGCCGGGAAACGAGTTGAGCGCGGTGCTACCAGGGACGTGGTGGGGATCGAACTCGGAACCACTCGTTTATGAAGCGAGCGCTCTACCACTACACCACTACCGCATAACACTCAGCTTCAAAAGTTTCAGCCTAAAACTATTTCAGTACACCATTATGGCTGACATTTCACACACAGCTATGTACTTATTTATTAGTATTAATATATAAATATAAAATCAAAAACCTTTTCAAATTTCAAGTCTCACCCTCAAAAAGTTTCCTTAGAATAAGTTATAAATATATGCAAAATTATTTTTTGATCTGAGTTGATTTAGGAGTGGCCTTAGACTTGCAAAGTTGATAAACTGAAAATCTTAATGAAAACAGTGAATAGGATGAGCGATATTGAAATATGAATAAGCGAGTGAATATGAATGATGCTAAAATATGATAAGCGAGTGACTATGAGTGATGTTGAAATATGAATAAGCGAGTGAATGAGTGATGTTGAAATATGAATAAGCGAGTAAATATGAGTAATGTTGAAATATAAAATATATTTGAACAACATTCATATTCATAATCAATTTATAAAAATATATAAATTGAATAAGCATATTTCAACATCACTCGCCATATAAATTGTACAAATTACATTCTTATAATTCTACAAAGACAATTTATTTCTAAACTTAAATACAGAAACAAGTGCAAACTATGATGTTATAATTCTGTTATTTACATTTATAGATCTGAAAAAAAATATATATATATATATACTAATATATTACTGAAAGAATAATTTCATTAGTACAAGTATTTCATAAAGTACCATTTAAAGAAAAATGAAAAAAATATTAAATAATAGTAATTAGGACATTGTTAAAAACTAAAACCTTAGGTGTCAAGGAATTGACTGTTGAAACATGACTTCTTATTTATTTTGATGAGACTTTGCATCTCAGTTTACTAACCTTATGGATCAAGGACCACAAAGAATTCAGGGGTTGGTGCGGCGCAGGGCCCCTGTGATAGCCGCAGCAGGGGGTGCGCCAGTGCGGCGCCAGGATCTGGGGGGGGGGTATGGATGATCCTCTTTTAGGAGAGAAGAAAACCGAAAGGTTTTTTTAATTCCCTTGTTTATATATATATATATATATATATATATATATATATATATATATATATATATATATATATATATATATATATCGTATTCATATATATATATATTTAGACACACAAGCATTTTTAGTAAAATAATCGCAGGTTGTTTTTTTTTTGTTAATTCACCCCAAGGCCGATAAGGCCACTACAAATGAGGAGGCTACTTAATTGTGGTTATAACCTTCTCTCAACTCTATAACTCCAAAACACGAACCTTGTCGAACAAGGCTGCTGCGTGGAGAAACAAGTTGAGCGCGGTACTACCAGGGACAAGGGTTAAAATTCATAATAATAATAACAGTAAAATAATTGCAATAACTACATTTGTCGCAAAAAGTTGTAAAATAATGTAATAGTAACTTAAAATTATTAATATAAAAAATGTAATGTATGAGTAAGAACCCATTTTAAATATTAACAGTGAAACAATGGATGCACAAAACCAAAATAATTACAATATTAACTATAAAAATATTCACAGTAAAATAATCACAGTAAAACACCTAAGTTTCAAATAAAACTACAAAATATATAATTATAAGTAAATAAAACTACAAAATATATAAGTATAAGTAAATAAAACTGCAAAATAACAGCAAAATAACTATATTCACAGTAAAAATAAGTTTTTTTCCAATGATTTACATCAAAGTTGATTGTTTAGAAATAAATTTTAAAAACATATGTATTGGTATAAAATACATTATTACATTAAGGTGCCTAATAGATTTTTATTTTATCAAATACCAAAAAAGAGTGAGAAAAAATGCAACCTTACGATTAGGTAAATACCAAGGCTTTCAAAACTGAATTCCATTATGTGCTATCTCGATTAATGTTATTCTAAATTTTTCACAATTTTGGTCATTTTAAACGATGAGCAATGGAAAGTATTTTATTAAAAATTTTTTGCTAGACTTTTGATAGAAGCATCTAGGGCTGACAACACTGAGGGTGGCCAAGGGCACTGCCCCACACACACACACACACACACACACACACACACACACACACACACACACACACACACACTCACACACACACTTTTTATCTGAAGGACCTTTTTTTAAATAAATTTGTAGATATAAAAGACTTTTTTTAGAGATTACTGATTGTGCCCCTCCACCCTCCACTTACCCTCCACTCCAAGAACCATGTCATTGGCCCATGCACCTCAGCTCAAACATCTTGTTTGATTATTGAATTAAAAATATATATTTTTTGCTTTATTAAAAATCACACAAAAAAAAATTATACCAATTTATTCATAGCAAATAATAAAAAATGGAATGCAACCTTTTCACCATTCACTTTCTAAAATATTTGTGTTACTATTTGGGGCAATAAAATTTGATGATACCTCCACATACCTGATTATCCCATCAAATAATAAAGTTCATCTTTTTACAAATCTATACCTCCACATACCTGATTATCAGCATTAAATAATTTAATTAATAATTAATAAGTTCATTTTTTTTACTAATTTAAACTTATAATTTAAATTTAGTAAAAAAGAAGAAAAAAAATGTTTTTAATTTTAACAAGTAAAATCAAAACATAAAACCAAAAAACAACATCTGAAACTTTTGAATAAAATATGTTTCAAAAAAATTAATATCACGTTACAAAAATTGATTGCTAAGCAACAAAATAATGCATGTGCAAAATAATTACCTCTGACTTTTTATTGGTATAGAATAAGAGCTTGAACAACACAAAAAAAACAATAGAAGCACTATCAAAATCAAGATGGAGCCACAGATGATTGCCACCAAAATATAATCTTCATCTATAAAAATAAATGTTCTGTTCCCTAACCAACTATAACAAAAAACTGTTAAAACAGTGAATTAAGTTGAGAATTAGTTAAAAAGGTCATTAAAACAGATGAATATTAACAAACTGTGGACTTTGATAGAGGGAAGGTAGAATAGGAACATTTACACAACTATTCTAACAATGTTAGAAAGATAATCATATTTAGGAAAAAAAATCAAAAAGATTAAAAGATAATGGAGATACTTAATGGGGATACTTAATGGAGATACTTAACAGTTTTTTGATAAAAATTTCAAAAATCTTAAAATTAAAAAAAAAAAAAACTTATTACTACTTTAATGATATTTGAGTTTTTTGATGGTTCTAAGCTAAAAATTATAGTAAATATAAATATTTAAATTAAAAATAATAGTAACTATAAATATTTAAGTTAAAAATAATAATAAATATAAATATTTATTAAAGTAATATAATAATAAAAAACATTATTTGAACAACTTAAACTGATTGACTTGCAGATAATATTGAACAAGAAAAACAGGTTGCAGTTAAATTTTTAGACAACTATGTGTTGACTGTCATAGATATTGCTTGGCAACAACATCTATCTCAACAGCATTTAAACTTTTATTAAAGCAACAACTTATAACATAACCCACTTGAATACTTTGTTGGACAACGGTTAGCATTGCAAACGCTAGTTTCAATAACTGTATCATTACCCAGGGTACAAACACCACCATGTAAAGGTTTTGGGTGACAAACCCCAGTTCTTATTTGGGTACCATTTGAACAAGATTTTGTGCATAAAGTCCAATTTGTCCAAATTCTTTGTGTTCCATCTGTATACAAAGAAATTATCTTCAATATTTGAAAAAAAAAAGTGAGGAATTTATATATAAAAATCACAAATATATAAACATCATTCACTTATAAATAAAAATCGTTTTTTTGCCAAAATACAAGTAGAAAAACACTTGACCTTTTAATTTAATTTAACTGTTTTTTTGGTGCCATTATCTGATTTTTTTTTTTAATACTTAATATAATTAATTTTTAAAGCTAAAAATTAAAATCATATCAGTTTAAACAATAAATTTCTTGAACATCAAATGATCAAAGATGGAGGCTTATCTTTAAGGTCATTTGTAAAACAATGATTTTTATAATTTTCTTTTACACTTTCTTCACATTCAATTTTTTTTTAAACAACTGTTTTATTTACAACTGCAAAAATTAATATAAAAATAATTTTTTCTTTTCAAATTGCAAGGCTCGGCTTTTGATGAACAAAATATTGCAGAATTAATATATGGTTCATCTAACAATTTTAAATCAATAATTTGAAAACTGGTGAATAGTAAAAAACAAATGCACACAATTAACAATTCACAATCTTCACAAATTTTTTATAATTTGTAGATAAATTTTTTAGTTTTTGTGAATCATGTGAATGAGACATAGAGTATTAAATTATTAACTTACTAACTGCATACAGCTCATTACACCTTTCTCCACGATAACCCAGATTGCACCTATAAGTACATATATTAAATGGACTAAAATTTGACAACAAAAATTTACTAATAGGTATGACAACAAAAACTTAAAAAAACTCAAAATTTACCAACAGATTTGCGTTTTGCTTTCTTCACATTGACCATTGCCACTGCATGAAAGTAAACTGCACCTTTCTATAATAATAAATTTTTCTAAAAATTATTCTAAAAAATTTCATTAACTTCAATTTGAATTTAACTTATTTGGACATGAACATTGTATAGGGGTTGTCCAAAAACTACATCATGGAATAGAGAGGGGGGGGGGGAGCAAAAAAATAGGGGTTAGTGATTTTGTGACGCAACAAATTATTTTTTAACCCATAAAATAATATCAGTCAATGATATAGCCATAGTTGTTATTAACTGATATATATATATATATATATATATATATATATATATATATATATATATATATATATATATATATATATATATATATATGTATATATGTATATATGTATATATGTATATATGTATATATGTATATATGTATATATGTATATATGTATATATGTATATATGTATATATGTATATATGTATATATGTATATATATATATATATATATATATATATATATATATATATATATATATATATATATATATATATATACATATGCATTGCAAAAATACAAAATAGATAATTGAAAAATTGTAAAAAGAAAATCTCAACCAAAACAAATGCTTTATTTTAAGAGATTTTGCTGAAAATTATTAATATGCTGTCAAGGATGAGGTTCAAACTTATCACCGGAGTTAATCTTCCAATTTTACATTGTACTTTATTTTATAAAGAAAACATTACTTAAACAAAAACCTTTTTGTTACCTTTTAGAAGATGTCAATTAGAACACATAGTTTGTTTACAAGAAGATGAAACTAGAAGAAAAGCTACATGATGCATTGTGTGATCTATTTTTCTGATGGCTGTAAGGCACAATTAAAATCTTTATCAATCTTTATCATCACAGTAAAGATTTTGATTTAAATGGTGAATGATAACTAGTGATAATGTAAGTAAACTTGATATTAAAGTCATGCATCTCCATGGACCAATAAAAAATTTCTTTAGGCAAATGAGAGATGATGGGTCCAATTTTTTTTTAGTTCAATTCCAAAATTATATGCCTAATTTCTACACCCGCAAAAAAAATCAAGTCATGCATACAGCATATCTGATTTAGATTTAAAGTACATGTGTAGTAATAGGATAAAAAAATAAAATTAACTTTTTAAAAAAATTTTTTTTTTAACTCACCTCCTCAAGGCCATGAAGGCCACTACAGTCGAGGAGGCTACTTTAGTCATGGTTACAGCCCTCTCTCAACTTGAAAACTCAGAAACACGAACCTTAACATACAAGGCTGCTGTATCTAATATTTTAGTTAGCAATTAAATGACAGTTAGAGATTAAACAGGTTATTGTCCTGAAAAAAAAATAAACTTGCTAAAATAAACAGAAAATTAGTTCTTACTACTTTATTTGAAACCAAAACTTTTTTTTCCAAATTTTATTAAATAAGTAACAAAAATTAAATATTTTTTGGGCACCCATACTGCTCCAAGTAAAAATTGTAAAACCAAGTTTATCAAAGTTTTTGTATAATTTTTTCCAAACAGAACAATTCTTGTGGCAAGAAAGAGTCGCAGCACTTTGTTTTATAAGAAAAACTAAACAGAAAGAAAAAAAAAAAAACAGAAAGAAAAACTAAAATCTTGATTTTTAACTTACAAAAAAGTTATTTATTAACACTTTAGTTTTTTATGCTAACATTTATAAAAACTTGGTTTTAACTTTAAAATATAAATAACTTTAAAATATAAATAAATTTTAATAAAATTTTTTATGCATTATTAAAATTAAATGATGCATAAAAAAGTTTATTAAAATTTACTACAAATGATCTATACATGTAAGTTACAAAGCTGTACTGTCACATTTTGGGCCCCTGTACTGTAACTTTTTAGGGTCCTTTTTAAAAAAAAAAAAATTAACTTTATTGAATTCATTTTTATAGGGTTTTTTTATTTTTAAAAATTATACAAAAATATTTTAAATCAATTTTCCTCGTCCTTTTACTTGCAAACTCCTTAATTATATCATAGTAATAAATTATCCTTACGGTCACATTGTCTATCAACAGTATTCCCCCTCTTCTTCAACATTATCTTTTTGTATTTTACCAAATTGTACAATTATTATTAAATTCATGTATTTTATTCATAGTTTTTTTACAATTAGTATTGAATTTATAGTATTGCATTCATAGTTTTGAGCTATTTATTACCGAAAACCAAACTAAAAATTTGATTAAAAGCATTATACAATTCAAAATCGTTCTTGTAATGAATCTTTTACAATATCAATTAGTTTATTAAAATAAAATTGTTTAAGTTTATTTTCAGCCATTTGAGTTAGATAGTTACACTCATCATCAATTCAATTGGTTGAGTTTCTTTTTCTGGTGGTTTAATTTTTTCATTTGGTGTATCATTAATACTTTTCATATTTCTTATTTTATTTTCATGTTCAGTGTAATATTAATAACCTCCCAATCTCTTGAAATTATGTACTCTAGGTTTTGGTAAGGGTAAACTAGGTTCTAGTGATTTATCAAGACTTTCTTTCAGCCAAAAGATGATAGAAGATTTTCTACTTGCTGATATTTGAGTATCACAAGAAGACCGTTCAATAAACTGCGCTATAACATTTATTTCTACCGACGCTTCTTGTGTTTCTTTTATAATCTGTTCAAAATTGTTTTTGAAATCATCAAACGATAATAGCATAGCTTTTGCATGTTGCAACGCAGGCCTTGTTTAAAGCATTAAGCTGCCGGCAATTTATGTATGTGTAAAACAACTTTACTTACACCTAGAGCAATTTCCATTAAGCAAATTTTTATCATTTTTTAACTTTTTAATTATTCTATTAGATAAAAAAATTTATAAAAAACCACTTCAACTTTTGAATGACGATTATGCAAAAAAGTTATGTTAGATAAAAGCATATACTAATGAAAAAAACATAAATAAAATTAAAACAACAAAATCTCTATTAAGTTATTTTATCAAAATATTTTTAGTAACAGAAAACAAAATTGTTTATAGTTAAAAAACAAATTTTTCTTTGTATAAAAAAGTTATTAAACGAAACGTAAAAAATAAACCATAAAAGAACTTTATGATAACATAAAAGAACCATAAAAAGAACCGTAAAAATAAACCATAAAAGAACTTTATAATAAACTTAAAAAAACCATTAAACTTTTTTTTATCATCTTGTGAGCACAAGAATATTTATACAACAATTGCAAAAAAAAATTTACTAAAATTTCTATTTAATAATAAAAAATAACTTTATAATAGAAAAAAAAGTTAAATTTTATTTTATCTTAATTTTATATTATGACATTTTATTTTTATTATATTATGATTGATTTTTTGGCTTAAAACACGCTAATACTTTAAGCTTGAAGCTTAGATCATAATAATATAATTTAATTATAATAAAAAATGTATGATTTTATATAAAACTAATTAAATGTAATGTATAATTTTATTCTGATAAAAAAAATATATATAACTTAATTTTGATTTAAAAAATATATAATTTAATTCTGATTTTAAAAATATATTTAAGTATTTACAGTAGCGTGCAAAAGTTTAGAAACACCTTATTTTTTTTCAGTTTTAGACTCATAATTTTTCACAAACTTTCTCATATAACCTGAAATTTTAACCGAATGTACTCTATATTATTACAATTCAAAATCCATTTCACAAAATTTTTAAAACTCACCAGTCAATTAGTTTTAATTGTTTTTTCGAAAAGACTTCTGTGCAAAAGTTTAGAAACAGTATAATAACCCGCAATTATATCAGGTTTTTGTAAACAAAAGCATTATGAAAGGTCAAACTTTTTCTGAAATTTATTATTTGAATTAACTTGAGAAATTTCAAAAGCAATGAAGTATAACTAATTGAGAAATTATTTGTGAAGTTTTATAATTCAATTATGTAGCGATATTTTAAAAGCATGGGAAAGGCTAAGGAAGTTTCAGCTGAAATAAAGAAATTAATTATAAAAGCTGTGGGGAAAAAATGACTTGCAAAAGGATTTCTGAACTTTAAAACCACTTTTATCTGTGAGAAATTTAAGAACCAGAATAAAATTTGCGAGAGATCATCTCAATTGGACAGTTAATGATTGGTCAAAGTCCTTTTCTCCAATGAATCAAAATTTATGCTATTCAGTAGTGACAGAAATAGATATGTCAGATGTCCAATAGGAGACAGATTCAATCCAAAATATCAGTTACCTATTGTTGAACATGGAGGAGGAAATGTTATGGTTTGGGGGTGTTTTAGTCGTGACAACCTGGGTCCCATTCATCGCATAGAAGGTATTATGGACCAGAGAGTTTATTTAGACATAATGAAGAACATAATGCTGCCCAATGCAAAAGACAAAATGAATCGCAATTGGATCTTTCAAAAAGATAATGACCCAAAGAATTGTGCCAGATCTGTTAAGGAATATTTTCAATCAAAAAAAGTCAACGTTTTTGAATGGCCTTCACAGAGCCCAGATCTCAATCCGATTGAGCATCTTTGGGAGTACATAGATAGGCAATTAGTTGGTAGAAAACCAACCAACAAAGACAATTTATTTGCTTTGATTAAAAAATGTTGGCAAAATATTCCTCAGGATGTTCTCATTAATTTAGTTGATTCGATGCCTTGTTGCTGTGATGCTGTTTTAATGGCAAATGGATATGCCACCAAATACTAACTTTTTTATTGAAACTATTTTATTAAAAAATTGTAAATTTTGAAAGTTTTAGCAAATATTTCAGCTTTATTGAAATAAATAATAATCCGAATTCAGCTGTTTCTAAACTTTTGCACGGAAGCTTTTTCAAAAAAAAACAATTAAAACTAATTGACCGGTGAGTTTTAAAAATTTTTCGAAATGGATTTTGAATTGGAATAATATAGAGCACATTTGGTAAAAATTTCAGGTTATTTGAGAAAGTTTGTGAAAAGTTATGCGTTAAAAACTGAAAAAAAGTAGGTGTTTCTAAACTTTAGCACGCTACTGTAAGTCTATTAAAATTAAAGTTAA